TATATATTTAATTAGATATGAAGACTAAAATAAGTTGACTGGATTTTTATGAAATTAAATGATTTCTAAATGAGAACTATAATATAATTTTTTATTGCTATTATTCATATCATTGATATTGTTGAAAATATCCGATATACTATATTAAACAAATAATTATAAAAATGATGAAAATAATGATGTCATCATTTGTTTGTTACAGATTAAAATTTAAAAAATTTTATCCAAATGATGAAAGATAATGATAAGCGAATATTTTACACTTTCATAAACATACAATTTTTTTCTTACTGTATTTTGTTTTATAATATTTCATAAAATTTTGTTACAATTTAACAGCAAAAAAGCAAAAAAAAAAGATTTCTCACCTAGATATCATTTATATTTTTGGTGTATTTGATTGAAATAAAACAAAAGATATGATCTTATATTATTGCATTTTAATTTCAGAAAGTAAACAAATATTAGAATTAAAATTGATTGATAGAGATGATAATATAGTTAAAGAACCGGATATAATACTCTCAATTAATTACTATCATATTAAATGCAATCGTCTGTTTATTTTTCGGCGAAATTTTTGTTTAAATTGTTCACAATTAGTCACATAAATTAACCACAAAATAGTATGATTGAAAAAAGATCGAAATTTATGGGTTATTTAAAATTCACATTTATTTATTTCCATTAACCTAATTTGCGCATATGACAAAGATGAACGATAATTGATGAAATTATGCCAAACAAATTACAGACTGATTCTTATTTACGGGTGTAAGACACTTATCTGATACTTATTTACGAATGTAAGACACTTATCGAATTAATCTTAAATAATACTGCGGGAGAAATTTAAAATTTAATGGGAACTTTTTTATTCCTCGATACTATATCATCATTATTCGTTCTTTCTGATACTCAAATGATGTTATGTTGGATGAGAAATTCATATTGCTTAAATTCTAACTGGATAATCATATTATTATATATGATATTATCTTAGCTCAACTAATTTCAGCTCATTAATATGCAATAAAAAATTTTCGGCTTATTTCAATATCCCAGAAATATATTCAATCAAATTTTAACATCTTCCGACTGTTGCATTTTCATATCTCAATTAATATCTCATGTTGTATTATACATAGAAGATTTTTTCTTTCGTAAAATTTCGTCAAAAATATTCAAGCTTAAATTAAAAAGAAAAAATCTGAATTTCAAATTTCATTTATTTAATAATCATCAATAAAATATATCTGCTACGAATAGATAATGACATAAATTATTAGTCTATCAAAAAAAAAAAGGGAAAAGTTTTACGATAAGATCTGAGAAGAAAATAAGAATGATTTTCGATTCGATGAAACTTCCCATTTAGATATTCGTAATTATTAGAAACTTTGTTGAAATCAACAACAACAACAACAACAACAATCAAATTATTTCACCTACCTTTGGCAACAATGAAAAAGTGATCGATCATAATAATAATTAATCTTTTTGAAATTTTTCCAAATTTCTTTTCGTTAAATTTCAATGCCAAAAAAAAAAAAAAGCTTTATCATGAAATTCTACATATTAATTTAGAGTAGAAAATGTTTGCATCACAATATATTCATTCTATTTCTATAATATATGCTATTTCCATTTTACCTTCTCCTCCTTTTCAGTATCAAAATAATTTAGGCTATGTATAAGTGATATACATTAAATAATTTGATAAGTGAAAATTTTTTAAATTTTATCATGCAAATTTAATGATATGTTTCGAAAAGATTGCTGTAAATAAAAATCTCAAAGAATTTTATTTTTGTTAATTTATTGCAAAAAAGAAAAAAAAACTGTCAAATTATGAAAAAAACAATGATGAATTAACGATAATGAATTCAGGAATTTTGTTTTGGAATGGTTGGAAATAAAAGACAACCAAGAAAATGCAACTGAGATTCATGTAATAATATGCGGTATTCAAATATTAAAATACAACGAAATAAATCTCCACGAGAAATCATATATTATTGCAAAAAAACTTGATCAATGCTTTGTCTACTTTAATTGAATAGACAATACAATGGAATTGTTTAATCGTCAGAGACTGACCAATGACCAGTGAGTGACCAGTAATCAGTGTTATTTAGTGTAATTTTTGAAATGAAAAATGTTAATCCATTGTCGACGTTATATTGTTGATTATAAGGAAATTTCAGAGTGAACAAAATCAATTCCATAGAAAGTCTACAATCTCTTAAGGTTAATTCTCTTTTCTTGCCACCTTATTATCTCTCTCTCTCTCTCTCCCTCTTTCTTTCTTTTCATCTCATAATTTTATTTCGGTAAAATTTAGAGCATTTAATATTTTTGGAATTGATAAGCTTATTTATTAATTATGTAGAAAGAAACGAAAAAAAAAAATGTGATGAAATTAGTAAAAAGGTGAGGATATTAAGATAGAGAGATTATAGAAGAAAGTAGAAGAGTGGAAGTATAATGCTGGCAGGAAGTGAGTTAAAATTTCGTTTTATTGTTGAAAAGAAAGAGAAAAATTGAAATGAGGGAAACGACAAAATATGAAATACAGAGAGATAAGCAAGAAAGAGAAACAGAAAGCAAATAGGTGTATTGATGTTTTTGAAAAGTAAATGAAAATATGTCATTGCATGACGAAAGGAATTAATATGAGAGAAAAGGAGAAAAGAGAGGAGAAGAAAGAAAAAATGGGAGAGTCAAGATTGACCGGATATAGCTATTACATTCCCAAAAAAAGATTTCCAATTTATTCTACTATAATTCGTTCTTCTTATTCTCTCTCTCTCTCTCTCTCTTTTTCTCTTTTATTTCCTCCATTTCCTTTCTCTCGTAAAGTTATCAAGCAAAAATAAGAAAGGAAGAAAAAGCAGGGCCTAAATTTCAGCAAAGATAAAAAGGAAAGAGTGTTTGAATGAATTGAGAATTGAGAATGCACATACCTTCTGTAAGCTGGGTGAATCAGATCGATTATTCATGGAACAAATTTACATGTTGTAACAATCGAATGACTATGAAAGGGACTTTAGCATTAATATTAGCACTAACCCTAGCACCAATATATCAGTAATAAGGATATCCAGCAGACAACATATAGATAAGGTTTAGTTAGATAATATCAGAAGATATTAGGAATTACATATAAACGAACTTTTTTAAAGTGCACTTAATTTTATCATCCGTACCATATATTACATGCAGATGCATGCACGATTTATACAAAGTGCATAATGGATGAATGTTATATTTAGTAATTATATAGACATCGTGCACGGTCGATAATAACGGCACTTATGAACCATTTGCTTCACCGCAATACACTAATAGCCTATGAACGATCAGTGTGCCTAGTGTTTGGACTGAAAGATGCCTTACGAAATTGCTTGGCTTCCGGATTTTCAGCCGAGGCATGGGATATTTTCAATACAATAATAAGTTTGAGAAAAATTTCCACAGACATAGGCAGAAAGATATAAGGCTTTATGAATTTTTAGTTCATCATCCATGGATGAAGTTTTGTTGATGAAAAAGTGCGTTAGAAAGGTTTATATGTAATAATTACAGAAAGCATAACATTGCGATGAACATTTAAATAACTTCAGACATAGACAGATGTGGCTATACAACCAAACAGATATAATAAGCATCATTAGGTAGTCAAAATTCACAAATTTTAACAAAAATAGAAGAAAAAATTGACAAACCGTGTGAGTTCGAAATTTGATTAATTTCAACTCACTACCATTACAGAACACATGAATAAACAATGAAGGAATGAATTTGGTTTTTACTACAAAAGCTATAAACCATCCTCGAAATATATGTTTTTCTGCCTCAATGATTTCTGGTATCCTGTTGAAATTCTGCAACAAACTTTGCTGAAAATTAAAGATAAAGCGCTTCAAAAACAAATCATAGCAAAAACAAATCACCCGCATAGCAGAATGCTGATTGTAACTCAAAGTTATTTGGAAGCGACCAGAACAGAATTTTGCCACATTTTTGAAAACTCAGCTGAAGGGGACTGGCCCCAGAGAGGTAAATGTTATCAGCGCAATGAGGAAAATGAAACATAAAAAAAGAGAGCAACTTCATTCATGAAGAATAACTGATTCGAATGGCATATACGGTACAACATGAATACACGAATAAAAAGCCATGATTATGAAGGAAGTCGCTACAGTATAAGTTAATTAATCAACCAATTAATCTGAAATTTACCCAACAAAATGGGGTTTCAAGGCCACTTATTCACAAAAGCATAGGCTATTTTTTTCCGCCATTCACGATGAAAGTATTTCGGTATCAGAGGAAAAAAACCCTTATGTCAAACGGTATAAACAAATCTGTTTTATATTGGCATTTTCGCCTTAATACGACATTTCTGAAGTGTGGCACGATAAATAAACTGCCGACGTGAAAGCTGGCGTACTTCTTTCAAATAATTTGTTAAACTGATAAGACCACGACTTAGCGCTTGACCAAGGAAATAGATAGCATCATCGATAGCACAGTCATAAACGTAACAACGAAGTAACTGCAATGGATTTATAAATCTATCATCAACAATGCAATTAGAGGTTCTACTCAGCGAATTAAGATTTGCAACGAAATTAATGGACAAAACAACAGAAATCTCCACAGAAATAGTGATAACATCCCCAGAAATGGTCGTCCCTTATTCTAGTTCAAAATTCCATTTCGATTTTTCTTGCTATTAGGGCCAGAAAATTCATTATTTAGCATTTTTCATTTAGATATTCTAGCTTTTGAAGAAAATTCAGAATAAAAACTGATTCTAACCTGTCTGTGCAAAGGCGTACAAGCATCAATTACTTGATCAATCTCCACATTTTTCTCCGGCGATGATGTTGAAAGGAGAGAGTTAATTTCGGCTTTCTTTTCCTGAAAATCGAAGCTACTCTTACGACCAATCAACAAACAAAAATTCGATGGAAGATAATAAAATTCGACGAATTTTTGGAATTCAGAGACAAAATTATATCAACGAGACAAGCACCTGATACACAATTAGTGCATCCTCCATCCGTTTCTGCTCTTGCGCTAAATCTTCCATAATACTTTTTAGCTTTTGCTGACCGGCACGTAGATCTGCATGGGTCTGTCGTATTGAAGCTAATTCCGCATGCACTGTCCCTAAAAAGCTTTATTTAAAAGTTTCACTTAACTTAAGTACTGAAGCACAACATTTCAAATTTAGAAATTCTAAGGTTGCAGCTTGACTGCATCCAAAAAGTAAACAGTGATTTCAAAGAGGACTTAATATAATTCACCGCAAGAAAGAGGACAGATTTTAATAAGAAACGAAAAGATACCTAATTTTTCGCGAAGGCGTTGCCTAATTTTATATTCAACAGCGCTCATCACGGATGCTTTCAAGTGTTCCGGCTGAACTGTACCACTACTAACACTACCATGTGGCGTCGAAGGATAATAAGAAGCAGGTGTCGTTGGGTATGGCGGCATTCCCGGTGCATTAGACGTCGAATAAGGTGTGTAACCTTGGACCTGAGTAGCAGATGTTGACCCTGTACCTGACAGACGTGAACTGTTGTTAGGTTTGGCGAAGACTGGACATGAATCTTGAAAACACATCGCCATAACCTTGAAAAATACAAATTTCATATACTTCATCGCATAACCTTGAAAAAAGCAAGTTTCATACACTTCCCGATACGAGATGTTTTTTTCTTCGTTAAACAATTTATTCTTGTAAATGAAAAAATTACCTGTAATAAACCACTTAAATCATATCCTGGAAAGGACCAGTCACTAAGATACGGCAAATAGATGCGTCCCTGCTTATCCACCGTTTTTGATTCCTTCAGCATCATATTTGGCGTTGGACAGACGTAACATACTGGTGCATAATAAGGATGGGTGTCCCAGAGATATAATGCTACCGGTATGTTGTATGTATTACCCTGATAAAAATTTTCTTTTATACCGAATTCCATTGAACTTAAAAACAACTCCAGAATTGGAAATTTAAAAGCATATTTGTACTTATACTACTTATCTAACAAACAATCTACAACCAGCAAAATCTCAAGCAAATGTAGATAAAAGATGACGAATATAACACGAAATAACACATAAGAAAAAGTGCGACATCAGGATGTATCTACAAAATCAAAGCAGATGGAAAGTCTGAAGCGATCTTCGCTATAACTTCGTTATAACCAGCAATGATCTTAAGTTGATACAAACCTTATAAAGAACAGGAATGGTGCCCTTCAAACGAAATGCAAGTGTATGTGTCCTGTCTGGATAAACGAAGTGTTCAACGTCTGGTGTGAGATCAGGAAAGCCGCTTAGAGCTGAGAGTATATCATTCTTCGCCGTATCCACATATTTTGCTTTAGCTCGATCCAATAAAGCAATAACGGTCGCTGACACGGCATTATTTGTCATACTACAAAATTCCAGAAATATTGTTACTTCACTGTTTGATAAAAATTAAATTAAGACCGCATAATAAATGCTCAGTAAATTCACGAATTGTTGCGTGTGGTGATTTTTGTAGCATTTAATATTTTTCAGCCTAACGCTAACACTTATTTCCTTCGAATAAAAAATCTCTTCCCATACAAAATACTGATTAAATTGCCTCCTATTAAATAGCTAACCTACTTGACAACCAATTACTTTGTTCCTGATTCAACCACCTAATTATTCTACCAACCAATCATTTAATTTTTATAACTCATTTTGCCTGATCAAACTTATTTAAATCAGAAGTCCAAAAAAGCAACAGAAATTGTTGGAATTGTTTTTGCCCACTTTTTGCTGAATCACTGACTTCAAATTTAACCATACTTTTATTAACAGAAATACACGATCGCTACAAAGCTTGACCTCGGCATCTTAGTTGCAAAACCCAACAACATCTAGAAGGTTTGATCTCAGTACCTTGCACTAGATTAATGGCAGAGGTCAGTAATGTTGAAGCACAACATAATAAGATGCCCGGAGAAACGAGTGGCAGGTCCGTATTTATCGACGAAAACTATGGAAGTCAAATTACCTTTTCACAATCACAAAGCAAAGTGAATTAAGAAGTTTCCCAACAGACTGGGATAAAATGACAACACATCTGCTCACGACATCCCAACACACAGCGGCCAGCAAAACAAGCACCCACACAACGTAAACTCAAATCTGCTCTTCCCAGATCCAAAATAATTTTCATGAAATCTCATTTGTGACACCATTCAACGATATATGTAGCGTATCGATTTTCAACCTATTCCGAACGACGCATTATTGAAAAGAAGTATGGTTCTAAGGGTGTGGAAATCTATAACGTTAGATGATGGGTGTGCGAAATAGCTCGATGATTTGCGAGAAGACGGAAGGTAGAAGGATCAACGAGAGAGCTTACAGTGTTTCAGGGGTTAGGAGGAAGACGTAATTGGAGATGAAAAGAGATGGTGTAAATGAAGGGATGGTAGAGATTGATGGGGATTGCAAAATATAATGGCCATAGATTGAGAAATAATTGAAGTCATCACTTCTTTTCTTACTAACAGCAAATTGTTCGTGCTTTGATCTGTATGTGTAGAAGACCTGCCAATTATTGCTTGCGCGTTACCTGGGACTATAGGCGTTGGTGGAAATAACGTATACTCTTCTCCATTTTCTTACTCCCATTGCCGTTTTAGCCTGCACGCATCGACCATGTGCCCTGCGATGTCGCTCGCTAACTGTTAGGAGTAATGAAAGTAAATGACCCAGTTTTACATGGAACCCAGTTTTACATGGAACCCAGTTTTACGCCTTGCGATGTAGCTCGCTAACTGTTAGGAGTATGAAAGTAAATGACCCAGTTTTACATGGAACCCAGTTTTAGGAAAATTCAAATGTTACCATCAGCTGGTGGTGGAGAAATTTTTAGGATCACGACAAATCTAAAATTCGTGTCATTATTTCGGAATTATCTAAAAGTGTACTTTTTCTTTCATGAATTCAATTTCATTTCAGGATTTTTTTAGTTCATTGGAAAAGGTGGTTTTTTTTTTTTTTTTTTTGAAAAACTATTTTTTTCGGGTGTTTACTGCTTACTGTCAAGAATATGGGTCGGAAGAAAAAGCGTGCGGCGAAACCCTGGTGTTGGTAAGCTATTTTAACGGTTATAAAGCAGTCCAAAGCACTCGGCTTTTTTCCTTTGAAAGACTTATCAGGATTGTTTTGATGAAAATAGTTCATCGGTTGTTACAATCGTCGTGTATGTTGGTTGGTGATTTTAATGATGTATTTTTTCAACTAAGGTTTTAATTATAATTTAAGTCTTGTTGTTTGAATGAAGAGTTTGGCATAGGATGATGCACATCAGATTATGCCTTATTTCGTGCTTTATCAAATCATCATAAGTGTTAAATGTTTTCTCTCTCTGTCTCTACCCCTCCTTTATTTACTTTTGAACTTACAGGTATAAATCGATGGCATAAGTAGATGGTTGGGAAAGAAGTAAGGTAACTAGGTTTTAAGTTGATAATTAAGGAACTAGTATAAATAAAAAAATTCGACAAGGATATCTGCTGATATTCAATTGCAATGAAAATTCTTATGCAAAATATAATTATCAAAGCTCATTGGTAACTTAATCCGTCAGAACATAATGAATCTCGCTTCAGAGATTTATACCATATATATTAAATACGACATTCAGTCGCGGTCATTGTTGGAATATCATGGCTGAAAAGTTGGTTGCTCCTGATGATTGGGCTCAAAACTATTAAATGGATAAAGATAATGTTTATTTTGTTGCAGGTACTGTAATCGTGAATTCGAAGATGAAAAAATTTTAATTCAACACCAAAAAGCAAAACATTTTAAATGTCATATTTGTCACAAAAAGCTTTTCACGGGCCCTGGATTGGCAATCCATTGCATGCAGGTGTTCTTTCATTCACCTAATTTACAGTAAATGGATTGTTTTTTTTTTGTGTAAAATTTTTTTACATATGTTGCCGTCCAAAACTCATTTTATTCACCTCTCCTGAAGCTTACTGGTTTTTTAGGTACACAAAGAAACGATAGATAAGATACCTGCTGCCTTACCCGGTAAAGATTCAGTTGAAGTAGAAGTTTATGGCATGGAAGGTATCCCCGATGATGTTCAAGGTTCCGGAATTTTAATTTTCTTACCAATATGCGAATTTATAAATCTATGATTTATGCTTTGGCGTTTTTTCAAAAAATATTAACTCTATTCCTTGCAGAGGAAAATACAAAGAAAGAGTCAAAGAATACAGCTGCTCCGGTGCCTCCTCTAATAACTCCATTTCCAATGCTACCTCCAGGTAAAATTATTTTTTATCATATTGGCTTTATATTTTACAAGGTGTCGTGAAATTTGAGTCAACGAATTTTCAAACAGCGAGCGAAAATAATTTTATATATTCTCTGATTTTTGCAATCTTCTTTGTATTTCGGAAATTCATCGTGTGTTTCAGGTATACCACCCATGATTCCCGGTTTTCCACCTCTTCCACCTTCAGGAATTCCTCCGTTTGGACCGCCATTTATGCCGGGAGTGCCAGCGCCACCAAGAACACTCCCGCCACTTCCGGTTGTACCTCCAGGTAGTGCTCAACCTGCACTCACAAGGTTCCCATTTCTTATTTCTAAATAGCCTTTAGTGAATCCTTTAAACCGCTGCAAAATAACTTAGCAATGTCTTAGCTGGTGTAGCAGTAAATTACGGCAGATAAATTATGTCGAAATTAAAGAGATTGTTAAAAAGCAGTTAAGGTTAGGATTCAGTTTTGGCTGCTCACCGCTAAAGTCTGAGCAGTTTATAGATTTTGGTAATCTCGTATGTAATATGTTTCAGAGGAACTTGCTGCCATTTCTTGTATATTAGATGGTAAGAAGGGTAGAAGATAACATGGAGCAAGTGCATGGACTTCAGTTTTTTTCATGGTACTGAAATCACCCGGTTTCATGATTGTCGGCCCTAATTCTTGCAAATATCTATTCTTGCCATAAGGAATAGTCTTATATCCGGAAATTGAAAATTGGAAAAATAGATAATTGCTATTTTGTTGCAGCATGAACTTACCACCTCGGGTGCCGCTACCAAATGGTCCGATGGGAGTACCCGGAATTCCTGGTCCGGGAACAATCAGTGCACAGTCGACACCCTCCGTACCAGCAGCTTTCCCAGCCTATAGTGACCCTTCTTCTAGTAAAGCTGCAGAGCCGGAACGGATCCGGGAAATACCCAATCAGATTCAAAGATTGGGGGCAAAAATACACATCATGCATCCTGACGAAGATATATCTTTGGTATGTTATTTAATATAGATTTAAAGCTTATAAAGATTACTCTTCGTGAATTGTGCAGAATAAGTTTCTTTTTCTGGATTGAATTTATTTAACATTTTTAGATAACATAAAATATTTTTTCAGGAGGAACGGTTGGCAATCACTAAGGGATTTATCTAGTTGAGAGTGGATTCAAAATTTTCGTAAGGTAAGTTTTCTTTTTATCTTTTTTTCAGGATGTAGCTGTTCATTGACTACTTTGTGCGATAAGTTTCAAGGTAGTTTTTAATAGTTTACAAGTAGGTTACTTGATTTCCTACATAGTTTCTTTGCATAAATTCATCATAAGCTCTGCGTTGTGGAACCTTTAGAAAGAGCTGAAACGACAGTTTCCGACCGTGCCACACAGTTTTAATTGTAAAGGTTAGTCCTGGAAGCAGGTGGGTAGTGTTTTCTTGCTCATCAAAAAAAAGATTGTAAAGCCTTCATGTCCTGTACGTTTTTTGGCACTCTCGTTGGTACTTTTCGTTGGCACTCCCGTCGGTACTTTTCGTTGGCACTCCCGTCGGTACTTTTCGTCCACACTTCCTTCAAGGTTTCAGCAACTGCTGCGGGTCTTTGGCAACTTTTTTTCTGTGAGTTTAATTAATATTTTGCGATAGTTGTGCTGACATCTTCACAATTAATTTGGGATAGAACTTTATTGTTACGATCCTCAAAAGCGGGGAAGGTTGGGGAGCTCGGGCTTTGAATCCTTACACCCTGAAGGACTTGGAAGCGGATTTTCTAGATTTCATTCTTGGTTTACGGCATTCACAAGTTGTGCCGTAGGATGGGAGATTGACAAGTAAGTTCGCTGCTCAAAGTATGGCATTATTACTTTTTTTACTTGTTGCTGAAGCTTATTGTGATTGAAGCTGTACTGAGGTAAGTGTACTACAGCTTTCTAAGGCTTTGCTCTCTGGTTTTTGCCAATAAAATTTTTGTTTTCAGCATAATCCTGTCTCCTCTCATCATCATCATCAAAATTTGCCGTTCGTATGCAGAAGAAAAAAATGGGAATTAATGCTACTGATTGCGCTTTATCAAATAACTAACTGAAACAATTAGCACTGGAATTGTGATTAATCGACACATTGCATTATTTTTCCCTCTCCATTGTTTTTTTCTCTTTTTTTAAACATTGTATTTATGCTGATGTCGATGATCGGTAAGTTCTGCTCTTTTATTAGATAGTGAGGTCTTCTTATTTGGAATTTATTGTACGGCGCACATGCAGTACAAATACATAACACATGCATATATGCACTGTCGTGTAAACAGTTACCATATATCAATGCCCTCGGAATGAGAATAAAAGTTTGGAATTTGGATCGACTTAGGTCGCAATAGAATTGAATTGCATGAACTTGATATGAAAACTGAACATGCAGAATAAGCAGTCATTGAAATATTCCAGCAACACTTCTGATTACGTTGAAAAGACACTCTACTTCCGCTGAGTTGTACTAATGAATCAACACTTTCTGTTTTGCAAAAATATAATCCCCAGAGACTCAATCAGTAAGACCAGCATATCCTTGAAAACCATCGAGAAACATTTCCACATCACCCAAATCGGGAGCACCCTGATCCGCAGTAGCTTGCTTTAATAGCAAGCGACGTCCAACTTTTCAGCACAAGGCTTGTTTTTCCATCATACCATCACTCTTAATTCCTTCCTGCTCGCCATTAAACGCTTGTTAACATTAGTTTCATTTGATCTATTTTTCAGTTACCTCATGGAAAAGCAATAATGACACTCCAAATATTTTTTTTATTCCATAAAACTAAGAGGAACACCGTTTTGATTCTTAATGTACCTTCGATACCGTTTGTAACGCCCACTAGTAGCCAAACGTTCCTTTTGTTCATCTTCCTTTGCAGCTTTCCACTCCGCAAATTTCACTTTATCCCATAGCTCATTTTTGAACAAAGATAATCGTTCATTGTCATTGAAACTCTGAAGTAAATGTCACTCTAACAGGCCTGTAATATTCCGTTAGGAAGACGTCCAACAGATAGTGACTTTTAGCTAAATGATATTTGTGGGTTAGTGAGGCGAATAAATACATATTTCATAAGGTAAGCTTACCGCAAACTGTTCTTCAGAAAGACTCAGATTTTTTCGTATCAGGTAAGATTTTGCATCATCATCGTAATCCTCTTTTTTCACGTAATATTTTACGAACCATGAAAAGTTCCATGCAGCAAACCTTAAGTACTTCTGTCAGTGTCATCAATCTTCAAATTTTGCATGAACCGACGAAATTAGAGCGCAAATTCAAAAGAATCAGGGATTCTATAGAACAAACTGATTCAAGTCTGCGGTCAATCTTTGGGGCCAACTCATCAGAATTGCTACATCTCATGAAACTATTGGTAATCCACTGCAATACAAAGCAGGATTGTGCATTTCATAGTTGCATGAAAAAATACAAAGATTACCTATATATCGTGTAAGGCAGCACAATAATTGTCCATAGCAATGTATTGTATATCGACGGCTTCTTATATCCACCTCTGCAACCGGAAAATCGTTCAGTGGAGTATATCTTCAAATGTGACTCGTTGAGAGCAACCTATAACAATATACTAAGTTTCTCTACAAAAATCGACCCGAAAAAGGGGGAAAAACTCATAAAAAAAATCATGTGACATTAAACAGTAGGTCCTAGGGCTGCTATGTCATCGCGAGAGAACCGTAGAAGGAAAAAGACGTTTAGAATCTTACCTGATATCCACATTTTCTTCAATAATCTTTCGCAGGACCTGTTCAGCATATTCTTTCCGCGATTTTTTATTACGAAAGTCGCCTTCCAGTGAAATTCCTCTTTCTTTAGCAATTTCTTTCGCCGCATTGCGATATTTTTCCTGCCTCACTGCATAATCAAGTGCTTCCTTATGTTTTTGTGCCGCACTTAGAAACTGGAATATGTGAATTTGCACCACGATGCTAATTGTGACAAAAACATGAACTTATATGATCACTTATTCAAAAATCTAAAACGTTGAAAAAGCATTAATGAAAAACACTGTTCCAGTGAATAAACCTCGGTTATTCATTTGTTCATTACACTTTAAATTTAGCTATTCATGGGAAATTATTAAAACATACCTGAATGAGAGATATAAGTATCAAAGTAACCAAAATAACAATTCGTGCATCCACTTTTGGAGCTACTCGCCTGCGATAATACTGATAATAGTTATAAGCTCGTTGTTCCGGATGATCCAAATAATAGTCATAATCAGCTCTTGTTTCATCATCCTTCAGAGTTTCATAAGCTGTCGCAATCCGACGGAACTTTTCTTCCGCTTCCTTCTTAGCCTGAAATTTTGAATACTACCATAGTAGACAAAGTGACTTCGTGAAATATATTAACGAATGTTACTATAATCACTATTAATTCGATTGTTTAATGAATGGTAAACATGAAAATTCCATTTCTCTGTGACTACTCACATCAGCAACTTTGTCAGGATGATACTGAGCTGCCAACTTCCGATACGTTCTTCCTAACACATTCTGAAACAAACACTGCATAGCCAACGCAAAACTCTCAGTTCTGTATCATTTACATGTGTTGATGTCAAGCTATCAATTATCAAAGTGACCACATTTTCTTTCTACGACTTAAAACCTTGGTGTGAAAGAATGAAATGAAAATTCTAAAAGAAATTTAGGGCAATAGAAAAACCAGAAAAAGCATGAAAAAACAAACCTTATTGAATTCCGAACGATCAATATTTAGAACTGAAAGAGAAAAGGAAATAAAATAAGGAATGAAATAATAATGATTAATCTAAGCAATGGATTAATTAAACGAATGGTTCAACGGATAGTCAACATTACGAGAATTCTAAGGCCGATATCAACTTAATCCATGCAATGTGTGTTACAATAGGATTCTTTCAGAATGGATTAGGGTGAAAAAATACAACAGATAACCAAGTTATCAGTGTCCATCACGTCCCAGCTAATAAATAGAAAATCGAAGAAAGGCGATGAAACTTGACCTTCATAACAGCTTTCAATTCCACAATAGAGACCTTCGAGTAAATCGGCACGGATGACAATGAAAACATTAGTAAAGCCAATCAGAAGCAGTAACAACATCCGGCAGAAATTCTGCAAATCGATTGTTCCTAACAATTCTGGGTATCAAGTTTTTTTCATTAATTAACATCAAAATATTTTTGGTTGAAACAAAATTCAAACAAAACCGTTACTTCAGTGAAAATGGCAAAGAAAAGTATAAGAGGGATATTCTGGTTATTAATTCTAGGAATCGAAGACCGGTTACAAGCTTGAGTCTAGCGAGAAGAACATGCATGTCAGAAATTCCCATCAAAAAAAACCACTAAATCTCCTCCTCCTACGCCTCTGCTAGTCCGAACCAATTCATTGCGCCTCATTTCATCAGCCATCAATCAAATCGAGTGGTAAATACCGAGTTCCATTGCAGGTTTAGAGACGACTGATAAGGTTTGGAAGTATATTACTAGTTATAGATTGAGATCGTAAAATGATCGGTTAGAAATTGAGAACTTAAAAAATAGAAGAGAGATATTAAGGTTGGGAAAATTTGCGAGAAAGCATATTGCTAAGAGTTTGCTCGATGAGAAATGGGGAAAAGTTTACGAAAAATAGCACAGTGTAGTGAGGGTAGTGTATGAAAGGAAGAAAAATAGGTATATATGAATCGAGGAGAGGGAAGACGAAAAAGGAATATAAACTACATGAAATAAAACGGAATAGTATTGATAAAATAATTGAATAATGAGAAATGGAAATATTAAATAATTATTGGAAGTGATTCAAGTTATTTCTGCTGGAAATAGTAAACAGAAATGTAACTTACTTATTATACTTATTTGATTTATGGTCATTGAATATGTTGATGGAACACGTGACTTGTTAAATTGTTACCAAACGAAGCATAGATTTATTTTTTCAGGAAAAGAATTTTTCTTTTTTTGATTTACAAATCTTTCAAATATTTCGATAATAAAATGGAGTACAATGGATGCAATTTTAAAGATTCGATTGTATGATTACTTCAAAGATCATTTGGTAACCAAATTACATTTATGAATTAATTTAAGAAAACTTCATGAAATATTTTTTTTTTTAAAGAGAGAAACTTTTGAAGCCTAAAATTGCTTTTAAAATATTTTTAAACTATCCGCTGTTTTTTGCGAATATTTTCCGAATTTTTTCCTTAAAGTTTTTTTTCTCGAAAAACATCCCTTCTTTACCAAACATATTTTACCATTAGAAGGAGAGAAGTTATACGTTTTACCGGTAACAATTGATTAAATTAAAATGAAACTTAAGGATTTAAAAAATTTGAATTGGCGCAATGTATTTTAGCACATAAGATTGCGAACATGAGAAGTGACAATGATGCAGCTCTACAAATTTTCCGCTCTAGGATAGTGTGTTCTTGACGCGATCGTTTCATGAGTTTCACAGATTGAATGTTTCACACATTTTTTGACGTGACTGTTACATAGATTCCATGATGTTTTACCGTTCCTGGAGCGTAAATGGTTTCATGAATCTCGTGGGATGTAACTGTTTCACGCATTTTTTGCATGTATGTGGCCGTGTGCTTTCGTGGTAAATGTACGAAGTAGGGAAAAATTGTTTGATTAAATATTGGTTATTTCTGGTGAGAGATATTTCAAATGGAAAGATGTTTGAGTATTAAAGCTGGATTGTGCGTCTAACATTAGTTTAAGGATAACTGATATTGTAGATGATGGTCTAAGAAATGGTGTTTTGGGATGAAATACAGCGAATATCGACGGAATGTAAGATGCTCAATTGTAGAAGACTTAATATTCTTGATTAGCATTTATGCAGCCATGGAGTTTTTTTTTTCCTTTTAGATTTGAAAGAAGGGAAGATTTAAAAGTGGTGGATGAATGCAGGTAGTATAAAGGTTACCCTTGTACAGCGACAGTTACGAGAAGACTGGAATAATCGTGAGTACGCGCAAGTGGTTTCTGATAATATCCGTCATATCGTGGATTTTCTTTGTCACTTTGGTAGGTCTTTAAGGCCTAATCAGTAAAGAATAATCCATTTTATGGAGCAACAAGACTAAGTGAATAGCTAAAAATCGCATGATGTCGACGAAATGAATATTCGATCCATTTATCATGCAAATGGGGGTGGCATTCTATTTAGTGAGGTGGCCTTAAATGATAGTGAGTTGTTATTTATTCACGCTTTCGTTTGGGTGGCATTCGATTTAGGCCTTCGTAAAAGATAATGAGTTGTTATTTGTTCACGTTTTCTTTTTATTACGATTAAAAATGAAGAAGCAGTATTCATAATGCGGCTTGTCATGAAAATTAGGACGCATATTTTCAGAACTCTCTTGTCGGAGCAGAATCGCAACACTTAGTGATAAGATATCACTGCTGGAACGAAAAGTTGAATTTCTTGAAGCCAGAGTGAGTTCTTACTTTGCATTTTATGGCCACTTGCATAGCAATGACTGCCTCATTCCATTTTTGTCTAAATCTTTAACTTTATCATGAAAAAAAATTGCTTGTTTTTAATTTCAGCATAACTTTTTTATTCATATAGATGGTTCCTGCATTATCCATGAGGGCAGTCCAGTTTACCATGTCGGTTTATTCCTGATTGATTGTATAATTACTAGTTATCGCGAGGTGAAACATTGAATTGAACAGAAATGGCAACGGGTGTGATAAGAACTGCTACAGCGACTACACGTGAAGTTGTCCCCATTGTGTCAGCCAATAAAGCACAAAGCCGATCGAATGTGCTTGCTGTATATAAAGAAATGTTAGTTCGTTTCACTCATTTATTGCGATTTATTTTTTATTTCATTCATTATTTATTTATTGCAATCGATATTCATTCTTTCGACCCGAAGCCTCTCTCTATCGTTCACTGATATAACCTCAAAATACTTCATGCCCTGTTTCGATCACATTGAAGTGTGTGGTATAACGAGCCACTTATTGGTGTCATGGTTTTATGGAATTTGCTGCTTTTTTTTTAGGTAAACAAAAATATTAAATATTGTCCAGAAAAATGGCAGTGATATCCGGATTACTTTTAAGATAGTGAGTAAAGGAAGATGGTAAAGTGGTAATAGTAAAGTGTAAGATAGGAGGAAATCAGTATATATTCTGTTGAAACTGAAATTCTTTATTTTACTTAAATCTCCTTTGCTAAAAATTAAAATATTGGTGTTAAACCATTAATGCTCTTTTTCTGAATGGAGCGCGTTGATCATACCCTGGCTAAAATAATGCTTCTACTGAAAAATTGCTGCATTGTATTGGGTGGTTCATTGTAATAATTTATATGCTTGCTTTGAACCAGCAAAAAGTAGAGAAAGGCACTTAACTTAGGACTATTGCAATGTCATGTTTGATCCAAATAGTTTTTAGGAATATATGTTCTAAATACATTTCTCATTGAAAAATGTACAAGTTTAGACATTCGCGTTTCCTATCTTGCCTTTCATTTCACTTTTGGCAGTTTTCAATTTTCAGTTTTCCTAGTCTGGGCATCTAACTCATTAATTATTTCATGCTCTTTATTGAAATAAATGCTCAAAACAGAAATATTATCAGGCTGAACAACAAAAGACCTTTCACATAAAATGAAGATGTGTTTATTTTCTACTTCATGTCATATGTTGATGATATTCTAATCGAACGAGGCTCTCAAACTATGAGTAATTAAGATTTGCTGCTGCGGTGGATCTTTTATGAGATGAAACGCTTCCTTATTTCATTAAGCAATGTTTTTTTCGTTGGAAATTAGTTCATGGCAAAGCTACTGCGTGTTACATGTTACGTATCTCGAAATGAAGCTAATTACATTTACTATTATGGAAGGGATGGGTGGATTTTTAAAACCATCATAACATCAAGATTCTATTTAGCCTCAGCAGTGTCCATATTTGTTGATTGGTTCTTATCGATAATTGCTTTATGTAACATTCGTTAGTAAAAATGGGGAAAGCACAAGGATGACATCAGCAAATGTTTGTTGCTTGCTTGCTTTATGTCTTATCGAAGCTGCAGTTTAACTTTGTCATCACCTCCCTTCTCGTATAGAATAGCAGAAGAAAGGATATCGTCATCATTTTTCAAACCGGTGAAGTACTTCATGTTGTTGGAATGCTTGCGACAGCAGTAGTATAGTAGTCTTAGTGGTAATAATAGTAGTAGGCGTAGTAGCAATAATGCAGCCATTCTTGTCGTCACAATGGTTGTAATCGTTATTTTTATCTTTGTCTCATCCTTGCATGTATGTACGCTTAGACGAAAAATGCTGAATCGATTTTGGATATTAATGTTTGAGACGGAAAATTCAGTGCCTAAATGCTATCGCTGTGAATGTTGCTGCTGTTGCCTAGTATCTGTTTTCAGGAAGGATAGCTCATATATTTGCCTATGTATGTGTGTGCGTGTGTTTGCTTCTGTTTTTTTATTTGCTAATTTTCCTTATTCTGTTCCTTTATGTTGTGAAAATGAGTAATATGCGGTTATAGGTGATTAAGCTTTATTTACTTGTGAAGTAAGTTTTCTTTTGTTTTCGGGATTTATTCTCGATTTTTTTTACTTTTGTAATGAAACATTAATTTCATCATCTCAGATCTGTTCTCTTATGAGTGTGTAATTTGTGGATGGTCGTTGACATTGGCCGACCGATTGACAATGACAGTCGTTTCATTTCATTGCTCAATTAATATTCCACCATATCCTTTTCTTACTACCAGTTTTTCATCATTACTGTATATTGGCACATCTGTGTATTATAAATTTTCGTTGATTTTTTTTCTTTCAAATTTAATTTTGTTTGTCGCGTTTCTCGATGTCAATCAGACTTACGGAAATCGAAAATATATGTCAGATTTCTGGGTGATCGGAAAGCTTTGTGGGAAAATATATTAGAAATACCTGAATTTCAATCAATCAGTTCTACAT